CGGAGTCAGGGGAGAACAATGAGAGAGAAAGAGGGGATCCACTGGTCCTTACAAAAGAAGGAGTTAAAGGGAAAGGAAGAAAGTTACTGCACATTTGCTATGTATGAGCCAAAAATTAGTTGAATCTGGTTGAGGATGTAAAATTAGGGACCCCAACCCTACTCAAATAGCTTGTTTTAAACTTCTAGTAATTAGAAAGGTCACAAACTAAAGCTTTAGTATTTATCCAAGAATAGCCTAATGGAAAAAATACTAGCTTGGTTACTACGACCTTTACAATTCTAAGTAGGTTAACCAACCTTTGAGCCTCAGCTTCTCAATTAAAAAAAAATGGGAACAATATCCTTCTATGAATTTGTATAGCTCAAATGCAAGAAGTACCCTAAAAACTAACAAGCCAGTCTTATTTCTGGATGAATGATCACTGAGATAAATATGCCACGCCATTTCTTACATTTGTGAAGGGTGATGCTCTGATCTGGGAATGATTATTCTTTCAGGTATTAGATATAAAGTAGTGCTCCATAAGGATATGTGGGGATTTAAAAAGAAAAAGTACAGACATGCTGCTCTCTTAAATGTCCCTTCAACAGGGTGGGGGGGGCTCCTACTGTGCTTGTTTCATATTTTTTTGCCATATAAATATGGTGGATAGAGTCTACAGCTTATATTCTCGTAGAAGAGAGGACCCAAATCAAGACTTTCTAAATCTCCAGGGTTGGGGTGGTAGGAGGGAGAGTAAAAAGAAGTATGTGTCTGATCTTTGGTAAAATTCCTCTAACTGGAATCCAGGTATGCAGAACTAATGTCACACACACAATTACTGCCTACGGGAATGAGGCATAAAGGTGATGTGGTATCTTTGACTAGTTTCTATGTTCCATCACTAAGTCCACAGCATGGAGTCCTCTGCCTTGCCTATTATATTACTCCTTGCACTCGTCCTAAGAAGGTTTATGGAGGCACCTGTCTCTGATCTCAAGTGGAAAGAAATGATGGAAGGAATCTCTTATCCTTTAATAAAACCAGAAGGTAATGAAAAGGCCTGTATTTGGATAATTGAGATGGTTGGGCTAACTCCCGCTACACAAACTGTTGTAGGATTGTGAAAAAGTAGATAAAAAGTCTGTCTGAGCCTGTCACTTTGTTCCTCATGAGAATGGCAAGAATCAGGAAATGACAAAAAGGGAAAATAATCTTACTTCTTCTAAGAGTCATCAGGAAGGGAACCAATATTTACTCTTAACTTATTGTATACCGGGTACATTTTTCATATCTTTAAACAATTCTTTACATCTCCTTCACCCATTTTTAAATCAGATTATTTGTATTTTTACTGTTAAGTTGTTTGAGTTCCTTGTATATTCTGGATATTAATCCCTTGTTGGACGCATAGTTTTCAAATATTTTCTCTAATTCTAAGGGTTGTCTTTTCACTCTGTTGATTGTTTCCTTTGCTGTGCAGAAGCTTTTTTAGTTTGATATAATCCCATTTGTTTATTTTTTCTTTTGTTGCCTGTGCTTTTGAGGTCTTATTCATTAATTAAAAAAATGGGCAAAGAAGCTGAATAGACATTCGCAATGGAAGACATACAAATGGCCAAAAGGTACATGAAAAAATGTTCCACATCACTCAGCATCAGGGAAATGCAAACCAAAATCACACTGAAATATCATCTCACCCCAGTTACACTGGCCATTATCAAAAAGTCAGAGAATGACAAATGCTGGCAAGTACACAGAGAAAGGCAAACCCTCCTACACTGTTGGTGGGACTGTAAATTAGTGCAGCCATTATGGAAAATGGTATGGAGGTTCCCCAAACAACTACAGATAGAGCTGCCATACAATCCAGCAACCCTACTACTGGGTATACACCCAAAGGAATGGAAATCATCATGTTGAAGGGATACCTGCACTCCCACATTTATCACAGCTCTGTTTACAATAGCCAAGTTATGGATCTAACCTAAATGTTCATTGATGGATGACTGAATAAAAAAATGTGGTGTGTACACACACACACACACACACACACACACACACACACACACACACACACAATGGAATACTTCTCAGCCATAGAAGAGTTAGGGGAGTTAGGGAAAAATAGGGTAATGGGCACAAAGAATTAATTCATTCTGTAATGAGTAATATGCCAACAATTCTGATTGTACATATTGTACAATCACATATTGTACATAAATACTGACAGTCAACTCTGTACCCCACAGATATGTATAATTAATGATATTTCAATAAAAAAATTCTTTACATCAACCATGCAACATCATTTCTCCCTATTTTACAGATGAATGAGTTGAGGCTCAGAGAGGATAATTACCTGCTACAAATAAGAAATTAGTTAAGTGACAGACTTGGAGTTTGACAATGTATGTCTACTTCTAAAGTCATAGCTTTTAGTGCTCTTCCAGGAGACACCTTTTTTCCTAGGAGGATCTGAGAAATCCGAGGAGAGAGATCTCCAGCCTAACAAAGATTTTACTTCAGTATCTAAGAGGCTGCTGATACTGTGTGCGTGTGTTCGGGGGCACGCAACAGAGAAGGTTAAAAACACACAGGACTGGTTACAATCCAAGAGGCATGAGATATTTATAAACTCTTCAATTTCCTATAAGAGTGGCTGAAAATGTTTGTGCCAAGCTTCTTTGACTGAGATGGGAGTAGGGAAGGAGGCTAAGTGAATGGAGACTGCAAGGACTTGGAGCTCTTTCCCAGTATAACTTCAGCTGTGCCTGATTCTCCTTCTGATGACTGTTGTGGTTTTTTTCTTTGTTTTTTGGAGAGGGGAAGCTTTTACTATTATTCTCCACTCTTGATGAGGAAATACTAATTAAATTGCTCTTCTGTCTCAGGCAGTACCATCCCTCTCATTTAGGAGCAGTGAGTGAACTGGCAGCCATGGTAGGTGGGGAGCAGGGAGGGAATGCCTGCCCAGCTGGGGAAAACGGAGGGCACTCAGGAGCAAAGAGTTACTGGAAGCCTTTGGACAGGAATCTTTGATGCTGAGAAATTTCTATGGAGTAGAAAGGTGTTAGAAAAGAGAGAATGGATGCAGAACCTAAGTGTGCTAGCAAGGCCCTTGAGGACAGAGGCTGGGTTCTAGGACCTGTGCATCCCCACGCCTGGCATAGCCCCATTCACAAAGCAGGCTGAATAAGTGAGTCTTTGCACACCAAATTAAACTAGACTTGGGCTAGAGGAAATGGGGGCCTTTTCTCATTACCCCTCACTGAAATAGAAGAGAATCAGCTGAAGAAGGAAAGGAGAAGAGGGGATGACTACTTTGTTCTCAGCTATACCTGAATTCCAGGAGTGTTAATATTGCATTCTGAGAGCACAGAGGGGAGATCAATGTGCCACTCCTGGGGTACATGCCCCACCTAGCAGGTCCTGTGAGAAGCGCTATATAGCATGGGGTATAATGCCACCTAGATCCTTTGAGTACCTGGGTATCTGTGGGAGCAGTACTGACCTCAGTCTTAAAGAGCTTGAATTCCTTCAGGGAAGAAAACAGCTTCTTTTGTAAACTGGACGGTTCACGACACTGTGATACTATCTCTTTAGTTTTCATGATATATTCATTATTTGAAACATAATTTTTCACCTTTCTAATGCCTGCTATCTGTCATCCATCCTATAATACAAATGTAAAAAGCTGTTTGCCATTCTTTGAACATGCCACATGCTCTCATATCTGTTATTTTCCCCTCTCTAGATAACATGCTTTTTCTTGCCTTGCTTGCCTAGCAAACTCCTCATCCTTCAGGCATTAATCAGTTCAAGGTGTGTTAAAACCTCAGGGAATTCTCTGATCTTTGCAAGCATGCTTGGGTGGCCCTCTTCAGTAAGACTTTTCCACACCACTATTAATTTATCCCATTGTTTGGTGAATGCTCAATTTACCTGTTTTCTCCCTATTTTTGTGAGCTCTGTGCAGGCAGGGAATACGTCTGCTTCATCTTTGGAAGCCCAGCATTTTGCATCGTACCTGACATGTGATGAACTCTAAATAGGTACGAGAAGATACAAAACCCAAACTGTAAAACCCCCAAATCATCTTGCAATCATACAGTTCACTCTTTGTGTAGCATCTGCATTGTGTGCTGGCAGATTACGCTTCTAGCAGGGTTAAGGATTAACCAGCAATGGGACATTGGTAGCCCTCTGTAGGACACATCCAATACCAGTACTGAGTCTCCAACATACTCTTCAACATAGGGGTAATTCCAAGAGGAAGAAATCTACGTTTATTCCTGTTGTTTCTGGTGGGCAGTTCAATATCCCAAAGGTCACCTCAGCAGCAAATGGCACCCTCTTAACTTTACAGAGTTGGCATTTTTTCATGTAGATGTCCATAGGGTCTTCATGTTTGTATGGTCCTCTTGCCTTTTTCCTTTTAAATTTTACAAATCAGGACAAAACTAATTTTAAAAATCAGGTAGATGAATCCATATAAGACCTAGGCCTGCTAAGACTAAGCTTCCAATGACTAATGACCTAGTCTCTAAGATTTGTACAAGGTTTCTGGGAACAGATATTAGTTGATTACTAGTTTCAACATTTCAAGCATCTGTCACATTTTTTTCACCCCCCCCCCTTAAAAAAAAGAAAAAGGCATTCACAACAATAATGAGTGAGTAGAGATTGGTTACAAAACACGGCCTCTCTTCTGCAGGCTTACTCTCATCCAAAGTAGGTACTTTATATAGCCACACTGGCATCCTTATTGATTCAAACGAAACAGTAACCTTATAGATAACCCACAGTTGTACTTTTCACTCTCCTACATGAACTTCCTCAGTGCTAGGTTGTTCTTTTTATAAAAGGAATTTTGCCTAGCTTTCCTTAAATGCACATTTGCCATCAGAGGTACCATAAATCTGGAGAAGAAATCTTTTTGGAGCTCTAATCCAAACTGATGCTGAAGCTTCAAAGATTACAAAGCTACTTCCCTTGTCAATATTTAGCTTCTTCTACATCCTAATGACTCAAACTCATATCAATATGCTTATCTGAAGGAGAGGACAACTAACTAGGAAAAGTTGGTGACTTGAAATAGCATCTCTTTTTGTGTCACTTCTCTCAAATGTTGAATAAAAGAGTATTTTCCTCTTCCCAGGCCCACCCTGAGATGGAGTGGGTGGAAATCCTGTGGCTAGGTATTCAAAGAAATGGTTTTGCTAAAGACAGCTGTGCCCCATTTAGAGATTTTGGAGAAAATGAAAAAGTGAACCAAGAGAATGGGATTTATGCGGGGAAACAGCTGTGATATGTAAAATTTAATTGCAAAAGATTGTTCCCTGCAGAGACAAAGCTAGCTGAAAGGACCAGTGTGAGCCCAGCATGCACACACATGCTGATGTGGAGGAGGCCAGAGCAGTTGACTTATAAATTAAAAGCTGTACTGACTCCATAGGAAAATAATGACAATACAAGATATCTGCCATGTAAAGAGTATGGATAATCTCCAAATATCAAAAACTATCTCCATTTCCCCGTTATAACCTTAAAAGTAATGTGTAAATTTTAGAAAAATGCCACAAATCATTTTCTTTGTGATCTTTGAGTTTCAGCTAACTCCACACCTCTCTCTGCAAAGGGTGTTTTCCCACAAAGAGAGTTTGGTCCAAGGTGGGGAAGCCATGTTCTAATATTCCTTACCCGATCTATTCCAAAAGAGTTTGTGTCAGATATAATCCTTCCTAATCTAGACATGTAAAAAGGCTCCAAAATAAAGAATAAAACAAAAATAATTATAAAAGTGTTCCTTATAAAGCTGCTCTGGTAATATGCCAAATGTTGATATAAGATACAGTACAGTTAAAGTCCTTTTAAATATGGACCTGGGTGGACTCTTAAGAAAGGCTGGTTTTAAAAAAGAATTAGTCCCTTCAATCTCACTATATATGGCACTATTATAACATTTTGAAATGTTTAAAATAACAATAAATAAAGTATATTTATTCCCAATAGTTATATTTCCATTCCAAAGCAGTTTATTATCTCGGTGGTGCCAGTTTGGATGCTCACACATGGGATGCAGTACTGTACATGGAACATCAAAGGAAGGCCTCGTACTCCAAGGAACATAAGTGTGGACAGGCAGCTACATCAGTGTGTAGAGTGTGTAAGGACATGTGTTTGTGCACCAAAAACAAAAAGCTTGAAATGAATTAAGACCCTTTTCTCTGAATATCCATATGTTGATAATATGTTGAGAAGTTGTGGTGAGACAGGTATTGTCACAAACAAGTGTAAGAACAAATTCTTTCTAGAAGTAATTTAGAAATATGTCTCAAGAATTATAAACAGTTCCTACCCTGTGACCCATGTCACTCTCAGAAATCATCTTAAGGAAATAAACAAATATGTGCACAAATATATATGTCATTATTCATACCGGTGAAAAACTAAAAAAGGATATGTCTGAAAATGAGGAGTAGGTTAAATAATGGTAAATCTGTTTAATAAAAAATACTGCAAACATTTAAAAATAAATGCTTTCATAAACCTTACAAAAAAGAGGAAAAAATAAAACCATAATGACATACCATTTTATAGTCATCAGATACCAGACTGACCAAAAAAAAAAAAAAAAATCCTGCTAAAATACTGTTAATGAGAAAGTGTTTATAATGATACACAGAGTCAGAGGACTACCTGAGGGATTGGTTTCCATCTCACCTCATTCACAGTGCTAACAGAACTGGCATAGTTTGGATGCCTGGAGGCTTGTGAGGACAAAGGAGAGTGACAGGTGGCTTGCTGTGGCTACCACAGCTCAGTGCAGTCACAATCACAAGCATACAACTCAAGATCTGTCCCTTGGGAGGGAGAGGGAGAGAAGGGAATTGTGCATGCATGCAGCATTCTGGCTTTCTGGAGCCATCTGAGGGACTGGTGTCTGAATTAGGTTTGATTTAAGACCTTGATAAGGAGCTGACATACACTGGATGCCTGGTGGCTGCTTAGAACAAGGGGGAGCTGGTGGTTTGCTGCAGTAGAAACAGAAAACTTGCAATGCTGTAGATAGACATCACAGGGTGTAAGCATTACAAGTTCCTGAAAAAGAAACTGGAAAGCATCTCTAATTGAGAAATTGCACGCACAGGCCCAGAAAAGCTCACTGGTGAGGATCTTCCCCTGCACCAAGCCAGTTCCTAAACTGGCAGAGGAGACTGCTTCTTCGAATGTGCCAATATTATCAAAAAGCTACGGAGATACTAAGAAGGAAAGAAATGTGGCCAAGCAGAACAAAATAAATCTCCAGAAACTGATCTTAAAAAAATTGAGGAATATGAATTACCTGAAAAGGAATTCAAAATAACCATAAAGATGCTCAATGAACTCAAGAAAATAATGAATAAACAAAATCAGAGTATCAACAGATATAAAATATTAAATAAATAAATAAATAAGCCCAGAAATTTTCAAGTTCAATTCAGAATACAGTAACTGAACTGAAAAATTCAGCTGAGAGGTTCAGCAGCAGACTTGATCAAGCAGAAGAAAGAATTAGCAAATTAGAAGACAGGTCATTTGTAATTATCTGGTCAGAGGAACAAAGAAAATAAAGAATAAAAAGAGTTGAGAAAGCCAAACAAAGGGACGAATGATACAGTATCAAGTGGTCCAATTACCTGCATTATGAAAGTCCAAAAAGGAAAAGAGAGAGAGAGAAAGAGGGAAGAAAGGTTATTTAAAGAAATAATGACAGAAAACTTCTCAAATATAGGGGAGGAAATGGGCACACAGATTTAAGAAGCCCAAAAAACTCCAACTAGAGTGAATACAAAGAAGTCACACTGAGACTCATTACAATCAAGTTATGAAAAGTCAAAGAAAAAGAAAGAATTTTGAAAGCAACAATGGAAAAATGATTTGTTACATACTAGGGAACCCTCATAAGACTATCAGCACATTCTGCAGCAAAAACAATGCAGGGCCAGAAGGGGCTGTGATAATATGTTTAAAGTGCTCAAATTGGGGGGTGGGGGGGGAGGCAGCTGCTACACAAGAGTATTATATCCAGCAAAACTATCCTTCAAAAATGACAGAGAAATAAAGATTTTCCCAAATAAACAAAAGCCGAGGGAGCTCATCACCACTACACCTGGTGTACAAGAAATGCGAAAGAGAATTTTTCAAATTGAAACAAAAGCATGCTGAACAGAAACACAAAAGAAGAAAGCCCACAGGTAAAGGTATATATATAGAAAGACACGATACTTTTACTACTGTAATGGTGTGTAAATCACTTTGAAAATACTACTAACTAAAAAAGCATGTTAAAGGAAACACGATATAAAAAGATGTAATTTGTGACATAAAATAACAAAATGTGTGTATGTGGGGAGAGTGAAAGTGTAGTTTTGGTATGTGATTGAACTACGCTATTATCAGCTCAAAATACATTGTTATAACTGTAAAATTTTTATATCAGCCCCATGAAAATCACAAAGAAAATATCTACAGAAAATGAATGAAAGAAAATGAGAAAGGAATAAAAACCTGGCACTACTAAAAAAAACAATGAAACACACAGGAATACTCAAAAGAAGAAAGCAAAAGAAAAAAAATGACAAAGACAGGAAATAATTAAATGGCAATAGTAAGTTCTTCTCTATCAATAATTAAACATAAATGGAGTAAATTCCTCAATCAAAAGACACAGAGTGGCTGACTGGATAAAAAAAGAGACCCAACCATATGCTATCTACAATAGACTCACTTTCGATTTAGAGACACGCATAGCCTGAAAGTGAAATGATGGAAAAGATATTATATGCATATGGTAACCAAAAGAGAATAGGGGTGGCCATACTTATATCAGACAAAATAGACTTTGAGTCAAAAAATGTCAAAAGAGACAAAAAAGAACATTATGTAATGATAAAAGGGTCAGTTCACCAGGAATAAATAACAATTTGAAGTATATATGCATCCAACATCAGAGCACCCCAAAATATGAAGCAAACGACAGAACTGAAGGGAGAAATCAACAAATACAATAATAGTAGGAGATTTCCATACTCCACTCTCAATAATATACAGAACATACAGACAGAAGATCAATAAGGAAACAAAGGACTGGAGCAACACTATAGATCAACTGTACCTAGCAGACATACACAGAACATTTCACCCAACAGCAGCAGAACATACATTCTTCTCAAGTGCACATGAAGAATTCTCCAGGACAGATCATATATTAGGTCATAAAATAAGTCTTACATTTAAGAAGACTGAAATCATACCAACTATATTTTCTAAGAATGGAATGAAACTGGAAATTAATAGCAGAAGGAAAACTGGAGAGTTCACATATGTGGAAATTAAGCAACATACTCTTGAGCAACCAATGGGTCAAAGAAAAAGTCAAAAAGGAAACTGGAAAATATCTTGAGACAAATGAAACATACTAAAACATATGGGATGCAGCAAAATATTATCAAGAGGGAAGTTTATAGCAATAAACACATTAAAAAAGAAGAAAGATTCTAAATAACCTAATTTTATACCTAAAGGAACTAGAAAATGAAGAACTAATACAAAGTTAGCAGAGGAGAGGAAAAATTAAGATTAGAGCAGAAAGAAATAAAAGAGAATAGAAAATCAATAGAAAAAATGAATTCGTTTTCTCAAAAGATCAGCAAAGTCGACAAACTGTTAGGTAGACTAAGAATAAAAAGAGAAAACTCAAATAAAATCAGATATAAAAGAGGAGACACTACAAATGATGGCACAGAAATTAGAAGGATTATAAAAAACTACTGTGAAAAATTATATGTCAACAAATTGGATAACCTAGAAGTAATACATAAATTACTGGAAACATTCAACCCACCAAGATTGAATCATGGAGAAACAGAAAATATGAACAGATCTCTAACTAGTAAGTAGATTGAATCAGTAATGAAAAACCTCCCAACAAAGAAAAGACTGGGACCAGATGGTATCACCAATGAATTCCATCAGTTAAAGAATTAATGCCAGTCCTTCTCAAATTCTTCCAAAAAAATTAAAGTGGAGGGAATACTTCCAAATTCATCTTATGAGGCCAGCAAGATCTTGATATTAAAACCAGAAAAACAAAAAAAGAAACAAACAAAACTACTAGCTAATATCCCTGAAGAACATAGATACAAAAATCCTAACAAAATACTAGCAAACTGAATTAAATAAAACATTAAAAGTATACACATGACTGAGTGGGAGTTATCCCTGGGACATAAGAATGGTTCCACATACAAAAATCAAAGTGATACACCACATTAATGGAACAAAGGATAAAAATCACATGAACAGCTCAGCAGAAGTGGAAAAAGCACTTGACAAAATTCAACATCTTTTCATGGTAAAAACACTCAACAAACTGGGAATAGTTTGACATGATCTTAGACATGATCTTATATATATATATATATAGAAAACCTAAAGATACCACAAGAAAACTGTTAGAACTAATAAATTCAGCAAAGTTGCAGGATTAAAAAAATCAACACACAACAATCATTTGCATGTTTATACCGTAAAACTAAAAAATCTGAACAGAAAATATTTCCATTTACAACTGTATCAAAAAATATAAAAAAAAAATACTTAGAAATAAACTTGACCGAAGAGGTGAAAGACCTGAACACTGAAAACTACAAAATATTGCTGAAAGAAAATTAAAGACACAAATAAATGGAAAGACATTTCATGTTCAGGGATTGGAAGACTTAATATTAAAATATCCATACTGCCCCAAATAATCTACAGATACAATGCAATCCTTATCAATACCCTAATGGCATTTTTTTTTTTTTTTTTTTACAGAAATAGAAAAAACAACCCTAAAATTCATATGGAATCACAAAGCACCACATGAGCCAGAACAATCTTGGGAAAGAAGAACAAAGCTGGAGGCCTCACATTTCTGATTCCAAACATATTACAAAGCTACAGTATCAAAATAGTATGCTACTGGCATAAAGATAGACATATAGACCAACAGACCAGAACAGAGAGCCCAGAAAAATCCCATGCATATACGGTGAAATGATCTTCAATAAAGGTTCCAATACTACACAATGGAGAAGATACAGTACCTTCAACAAATGGTGATGGAAAAACTGTATATCCACATGCAAAATAATGAAATTGGATTCCTATTTTTACACCAAACACAAAAATGAACTCAATGTAGATTAAAGACTTAATCTACAAAAACCATACAATTCCCAGAAGAAAACAGGGAGAAAATTTCATAACATTGGACTTGGCAGTGATTTCTGGATAGGCCACCCAAAGCCCATGCAAAAAAAGCAAAAATAGAAAAGTGGGACTACATTAGCCTAAAACACCTCTACACATCAAAGAAACAATTCAACAGTTTTCTGAAAAGGTAACCTAGAGAATGGGAGAAAATATTTGCAAACCATACATCTCACAAATAATTAATACCCAAAATACATAAGGAATACCTACAACTCAATAGTAAAAAAAAATACAACCTATTTAAAAAATAAAAAATGAGCAAAGGACTTGAATAGACATTTCTCCGAAGAAGACATATAAATGGCCAACAGGTATTTTGAAAAGATGCTCAACATCACTAATCATTAGGAAAATGCAAACATGATATTATGATTTATAAGATTATATCTATATCTAGTCTTCATACTCATTTCCTGGCACAGAGCTCCTAAAACCCTTGGAATCTCCGGAGTATTAAGAGTGTCCCTTGTATGCTAATGAGATGACTAGTGGCTGGTAATCCCTAGATAGCCTTAGGATGAGGGCTGGTATCCAGAAAGACCAAGGCATGATTAGAAGGTTGGGACTTTTAGTCCCACACCCCAAATTCCCAGGAGGGAGATGGGAGAGGAGCCGAAGGTTGAGTTGATCACCAATGGCCAATGATTTAATCAATCATACCTACAGAATAAAGGCTCCATTAAACAAAACAAAACAAAAAACAAAATCCTGGATTCAGAGGAGCTTCTGGATAGCTGAACAGAGGGAGGTCGCTGGAGAGTGGTGTACTGGGACAGGGCTTGGAAGCTCTATGCCCCTTGTCCTGTATCTTGCCCTATGCATCTCCTCCCTTTGGCTGTTCATCTGCATCTTTTGTAATATCCTTTATAATAAATGGGTAAATGTTTCCCTGAGTTCTATGAGTCACTCTAGTAAATTAATCAAACCCGAGGAGGGGGTCCTGGAAACCCTTGATTTATAGCTGGTTGGTCAGAAGTATAGGTGACAACCTCCTTCTTGCAACTGGCATCTGAAGTGGGAGACAGAATTATGGGACTGAGCCCTCAACCTGCAGGCTCTGAAGCTATGTCTAGGTAGATAGTGTCAGAATTGAATTGAATTGAATTAGAGGACACCCAGCTGGTGTGAGCTGGAGAATCTGGGGTCACAGAAGTATTCTGTATTGAGCATAAGAATAGAGAATGGGAAAAACAGTTTGGGTTTTTCTTATTTTTAATAGCAAATCAAAAACATAATTAGATATCACTTAATACCCATTAGGATGGCTACTATTAAAAAAACAAACTAACAGAAAATAACAAGTGTTGGCGAGAATGTGGGGAAATTGGAATCCTTATGTACTGTTGTTGGGATGTAAAATGGTTCAGTACCTTTGAAGTACAGGATGGTGGATCCTCAAAAAAAAATAAAAATAGAACTACCATATGATTTAGCAATCCCACTTCCAGGTATTTATTCAAAATGAGTGAAATTAGGACCTCAAAGAGATATTTGCACCCACGTTCATTGCGGCATTATTCACAACAGCCAAGAGACAGAAACAACCTAAATGTGCACTCATGGATTACTGGATAAAGAACATGTGGTATATATATAAGATGTAAATATTACTGAGCATTAAAAAGGAAAGAATTTCTCACACATGCTACAACATAAATGAACCTTGAGAACATTATGCTAAATGAGATAAGCCATCACAGAAGGATGAATTCTGCATGATTCCACTTACATGAGGTATCTAAAATAGTGAAATTCATAGAAACAAAGTAGAATGGTGGTTGCCAGAGGCTGGGGGGTAGTGGGGGGGGGGCAGGCAGGGAACAGGGAAATTGCTGCACAATGGTATAGAGTTCAGTCATGCAAGATAAAAAAGCTCCCTAAATCCGTTGTACAGCTTTGGTCTCATAGTTAACAATATTGCATTGTACATCTAAAAATTTAAGAGGGTAGATCTCACGTTATGTGCTTTTTAGCACAATGAAAAAACATCTTTTCCTATCAGACACTGTTAAGGGCAGTGTTGTGACTGCCTTGCTTCCTATTAGCCCTAATTTAGCTCCTGCACCTTCACAGTGGGAGACAGAACTCTGCTGGGCCCAGGGAAGTGGTACACTCCATTCCAGTCAACACAACTTTCCCATCTCCACTGCCACAGAGCAGAAGAGGCAGAAGCTCCAGCGACCACCCTTCAAATGGCCACAACTTAGAAACTGGGTCCCAAACAGATTTCCAGATCCTGAGACTGGAAGAAAGACTCCTGACGGGATGTTCTGGTCAAACCCTTACCCGGGAAATTTGGAATACGTTTGAGTTAAGTATAAATATTTCAGGACTTGAATAAAAATGTGTGTCTCTAGTTTTAGGTAGGATCAAAACTAAGATAGTTAAACAACAATATATAAATGAAGGCTATAACTAATCTATAGTAAAATATCCACTGAAACAGGTGCTGTCACAGGTCTGTACCTGTATAGACCATATGAAGTCTAACTTATAAACTAATGTTCAATATTTCTTATTTAACGTAATTAGAACATAGCATGTCCATTTCTCTGATAATGTATGTATATGTGTGTATGTGTCTGTGTGAGTGTATCCAAAGATAATATTTTCACTAAAACAAAAACAAAAACAAACAAACAAAAAAGAATTTAAACATCAATTAAATGGTCTTCTGGGTGTTTGATGTGGCTTTTTTGTACAAAGTATTTCTTTGGGTACCTTGTTTATTGTTTCAGGGAGTTTTGTGGGTTTTTATTTTTACCTATTTTACTTTTACCTTTTGCAAGTAAAGAACTGTTCCTTTCAGTACAGCATAAAAGGTTTTCCATCCTCGCTTTCCTCTTGGAGCTGGAAAGGGAAAAAAAATGTGACATTTTATTTGACAGAAGTTAGCATTTTAGAAAGAGAATCTAAATAATCAGCATGGTGATTATGTTTCAATATTCCTAGTTTATTAGCTGCCAAACTAATAATAATGAGAACTAAAATTTTTTTGAGCCTTATGGTGTACCAGGCATCATTCTAAAACGTTTTCCATCTATGATTTTATTTAATCCTCTCAATAATGCTGCCAGGTAGGTACTAATACTCTCTTCTTTTTATAAAACTGAAGCACAGAGAAGTGACCTGCTCATGGTCACACAATTAGGAAGAGGAGAAGCTGGAACTGAGCTCGGGTTCAAGGCTCTCTAGTTTGCTCTCTAGTAGAAATGACTTACAGACTGGGAAAGCAAAATAGGCATATTGGAAATACGTATTAATACAAGAGAAGGCTTAAAAGGCTCCTGTCCCAGAAGCTTTATGGCTTCTTCAAAGTTTCTAGGAATCATAAAATGGTCTCAATATGAAAGAATCATTCTTGACATTTCTCCCCCACCCTCCAGAACCGGATTATAAGTAACTATTATTACTCCTATGGGAAACTGTGCACATCTCTGCTGCAGATTTTGCTGCGATGTAATTTTCTTTTTTGTCCAAATGTCTCTTTCCCTAGACTGTGAATGACTTAAGAGCAGGTACCCTTCATCTTTAGAATTCATAGAACCTAGCACAGTGCAAGGAAGACACTAGGCACCATCACAAAAATTCTCCAAATTAATTAATTCTTTCAGAAGTCCTAACGTTCCTTTTGTTTATATTTTTCTTGAATATAAAGTAGAATTTCTCTACTGACTTATATAAACTCCTACAAATTGTCCAAATGTAAAAGCAAACATTACCTATTTATTCTTAATCTCAATAAAATTAAAATTTATAACTAGAAAATGTTATCACTTGAATTTCATTTTTCTAAACATGCCTGCCAAATACATAGGGAGGGTCATTTATCCATATTTTCCTTTGTCAAACATTTGGCTGTGTTTAACTTGGATACCTGATTAAATTACAAAGTACATTATTCTTAAGCAAACCCTTTACATCGCTTTTGACTGAATACCCAAGATTTCTTAGGCTTGGAACTCGATGAATATAACAACTTACAGAACATAGGTGCTCCTGCCAACACCATACTGAGATATCCACCTGGCAAGAAAGGACTCAAAACATCCGCTCTGCATGTTTCCAGGGGAAATTAAAAATATCATCCCTTCTGTTTCCACTAGGTGAGGTTTAAAAGTGTGTATTCAAAAATATATGACAAAAAAAAGCACACCATAATCTCCTTTATAAGAAAAAAACCTGACTAATATAAACAGAGGGCCACAGATCAAATATATAACAAATATTCACTACGTTGTTCAACAGATGTCAAATTTTGGTCCTGCTGTGCACTCAGAAGTGACCTTGGGCTGCGGGAGCTGCTGCAGAGCAGGGTCAGAGGCAGTTTGTTGTGGCGGAGGTGCCAAAGCAGAAGCAGACAAGCTGGGCTTCTAGTCCCTTCTAGACCTCACCTTGCCTTATACCTGTCCTCTCATCCATCAACCCTTCCCTGGGTAACTCCTGACAAGTCACTCAACCTCTCAGGACTTCAGCTGCTTCATTTTAAACTGTTGGTAATTCATGTAGCTAAAGTAAAGCACTGGCAGATGCCAGAAGGAAACTTAAGAGAAAAGCTTTTAGTTTTCTATAGGAGGAACACAGGTCTGGAGTTTAAAGGCTTTCTCTGAAGCCCTAAAGCTGGTTTCGTGGGATCTTGAGATCCCCTCAGTTTAAAGATCTACAAATCAATTTTTCTACTTTGGAAGTGGAAAACTATCTATGAATCCATGTACATGTTCACAAAGTTTTTAACTGTCTTTTATCACTACCACCCTAAGCCTACTAGAAACAGATTCCAAAGAGCTGCCAAGTGAAACATGATCTTAAAAGTCGCCCATGAGTGACAAATGCTCAGTAAGTGATCATTAACACTACTGAACTCTACTTTGCCTTCTCCCACAGAAGAGTAAAACTTAATCCTGTCTTTGTTCAATTATGACTTAGATACGCCATGAGTGAAGCAACCCATAACCTCCCAACAAGACAACCTAGAAGCAAGTTCTCAGCAGTATACAGCTAGTGTGCTATAAAAACACTGCTCTAGAGCTCTGACACGTATTAATCCATTGAACTGATGCCACATTAGGAGTCAGGAACTATTATTACCTCCATCTTACACAGGAGATAGTGTGGGTGCAAACAAGTGGAATTTAGGGAAAAAAGGGACCTTGTGCACTTGAGTAGGCCGGGAAGGCTCTCTACAAGCAGGCTCGATGGCTCCGGTTTTAAAACCACAAGAACAGTGCTGCTGCTGCTGCTGCACCCTCTGAGGGTGACTGTGTGGAAGACAAAGGGCTGGAGGTCAGTGAATGAAGAGCATTATTCCTCATAGTGACGACTCCAGAATGAGTTAAAACTGATTCACGTGTTATCAAGTACCTAAGATACCTGAGCAGTTGTATGAGTAGTTACGTAGTGAACATGATGGGAGCAATGAGTGAAAGATTAATGATCAGAAACCCAGTGTGTCCAATCGAAAGGCTTTAACTGCAAGGGGGGTAGGGAGTTGGTATGTAGATGAAGTTTAACAAATACCCAGGTATCTACTGTGAGAAGGTGTTTACAGAACTTTATCAAAAGATGCCATTTTATATGTGCTAGACCATGCTTTCATGGCAGTTTTTAATATGCATATTTAGAGCCCAAAGACAATCAATTGCTTTCCTTTGTAAAAATACAACCACCTTGGAATGTTTTAATTCCAATCACCTGCCTCTAACCTTACGTGGTAACAGTGTCTATTATTTTACCTTTCTTTTTTTTTTTTAAAGCCTATAGCACCTGGTATTCCCAGGGAGTCCCCCATCCAATTACTGATCAGCTCCTGAATAGCTTCTGAGATCAGAAGAGATAGGGCATGTTCAGGGTGCTTTGGCTGTAGGCTCTTTAAAATACTACTGAAGTCGACATCATTATTTTTCTATAAACTGCTACTGTCTGTTTAGATTTACCCTCATGTTTACTTTTATCTTTATTCATTGCTTCTTTCTATACTTGAGATTGCTCTTTGGAGGCCATTTTCAATGACTTTTTATTTTAACTTATATAATTTTGTGGGGCACAGTGTGTTGTTTCGGTACATGCATATAGTGCACAGTGATTCACTTAGGGTAGATAGCACTGTTTTGTACCCATTAGTCCACCACTTCTCCTCCCCACCAACCCCCTCCCCCTGGCCTCTGGTAACCATTATCCTACTCTCTACTTCTGTGAGAACTATTTTTAAAAAAAAAAAAAAATTCCACAAACGAGTGAGATCATCTGGTATTAGTCTTTCTGTGTCTGACTTAATGTGATGGTTTCCAGTTCCATCCATGCTGCTGTAATTGACAGGATATCACTTCTCTTTATAGATGAATAGTATTCCATTGTGTTATATACCACAGTTATTTTTATCCATTCATCCATTGATGGACATTTAGGTTGATTCCATCTCTTGGCTATTGTGAATACTGCCACAATGAACATGGAAGTGCTGGTGTCTTTTTGATATACTGGTTTCATGTCCTTTGGGTATATACCCAGTAGTGGGATAGCTGGAGCATAAGGTAGATCTATTTTTAGTTCTCTGAGGAACCTCCGTAGCCTTTTCCATAGTGGCTGTACCAATTGACATTCCCACCACCAATGTAGGAGAGGTCCCTTTTCTCTGCATCCTTACTGGCATTTGTTATTTTCTGTCTTGCTGATAGCCATTCTAACTGGGGTGAGATGATATCTCATTGGGGTTTTAATTTGCATTTCCCTGATGATGAGTGATTTTGAGCATTTTTTCATGTGCTCTTTTTGTGTGTCTTCTTTTGAGAAATGTCTGTTCAGATCCTTTGCCTATTTTTTAATTGGGTTATTTGGGTTTTTTTGCTGTTGAGCTGTTTGAGTTCCTTATATATTCTGGATATATATTCTGGTGCTAATATCCAGAGTATTTGTAAGGAACTCAAACAACTCAACAGCAAAACAAAAACAAAAACAAAAACAAACAACACCCAAAACACTACACTACAAGTAATGTGTAGTTTGCAAACACTTTCTCCCACTTTGTAGGCTGTCTCCACTTTGTTGATAGTGTGCTTTGCTGTCAGAAGCTTTTTAGCAGCCCTATTTGTGTGCTTTTGCTTTAGCTGCCTGTGCCTTTGCAGTCTCACTCAAAAAAGAACTGCTCACTCCCATTTTGAGTTGCATTTCACCCATGGTTTCTTCTAGTAGTTTCATAGTTTCAGGTCTTAAATGTAGGTCTTTAATCTATTTTGAGTTGATTTTTGCATATGGTGAGACTGGGAGCTAGTTTCAATCTTCTTCATGTGGATATCCAGTTTTCCCAGCACCATTTGTTGAGAAGGCTGTCCTTTCCCCACTGTATATTCTTGGCACCTTTGTGAAAATCCGTTGGCTGTAATAAGTGTGTGGGTTTATTTCTGGGCTGTCTATTCTGCTTCATTGTTCTATTTGTCTATTTTTATGCCAGGACCTTGCTGTTTTGGTTGCTATAGCTTTATAGCATATTTGAAGTAGGGAAGTGTGATGCCTCCAACTTTGTTCTTTTTTGTTCAAGATTGCTTTTGCTATATGGGGTCTTTTGTGGTTCCACACAAATCTGAAGATCACTTTTTTCTATTTCTGTGAAGAAAGTCAATGGTTTTTGATGGGATTGCACTGAATGTGTAGATTGCTTTAGGTAATATGGACATTTTGATGATGTTAATTCTCACTTATGAACATGGGATATCTTTCCATATATTTGTGTCCTCTTCAATTTTTTCCAGAAAGTTTTATAGTTTTCACTGTAGAGGTCTTTCATTTTTTTTTGGCAGCTACTGTGAATGGGATTACTTTCTTGATTTCTTGTTCAGCTATTTCATTATAAGCAT